CAACTGACCCCTGGGTTAATGCCCACCATATCCTCATGCCTACAAGCAAAGACATCTTGGTTCCTGCGCAAAAACTCTTTCAGTTCCTCTTTGAGCCTCGGGACAAGACTTTGACCAACTTGTAGTAGTTTGGTGGGATTCAATGGATCGATGGGAAAATTTTCTAGTTCCTCCATAGGAGCTGCCTGGGAGTCGTTTTCAATTATTCGGGGGTCGAGTTCGTCAAATGTGGGCATCTCAGGGCCATTGATACTAATCACCATGTTAATGTCCCTAGGCTCAGCTTTCCTTACAGAGTTAAGGTAGCATTGCATGTGCATCCGACTAGTATTGTTAAAAGAATTGCTTGTAATATTAACACAAATACATTTTTTTGTAAAATAGTTTTGCATACCATTTTCCTTTTTTATATTGAATTGGCTATCACGAAACCTGAACATAAAAAAATATAAGAGATTATTATATTATTTAACGAAAGCAAATAAGTTATAATAATTAACGTCATCATCATTTAAGACACACGATGAACCCCTACCAAATTCAAGAAATGAATTAGCATTTCATGATTTGCAAACACGCTTGAAACGTAGCAAAGATTTCACAGGAATGTAGCAGATTTCTCAACACCCTTTGCAAATGCAATCTAAATTGAAGAACGAGTGTGTACTCTCTAATTACAAAGAATTATTATTATTATTATTATTTATTTTTTTTTGACAAATAACTGCTTTAATGTCGGGTTCAACAAATGAAACGTTAAGAAAAAAAAATTATAACAAAAACTAGTAATTAAAAGAAAAATTATTCCAAATTGAAAACGAAAAATGAATGCCAAAAGAAGCAGACATGATTAGATAGAACTAGTAGAAATAGAAAACAATTTTAATCTAAAATTATGGATACGTGTTTTCTTAACGTTCTCACAAATACAATAAAAAGAATATAAAAAAAAAATCGTTCCTTTTCCACGTTTCCAACATATGATCTAACGGGCTAACACTATAGAGATATATGAATTAAAAGCAATTAATCTAAGATTTAATTCTGCTTTATTTATTTTTCTAAATTTTTCCCAATCAAATTTTCCCTTTAAAGCATTTCCTTCTATTCCTTCATATACTTCGATTTCTAAATTCTCAGTGTTATCAATTTCCATGATCTCTATTAGGGATGGCAACGGGGCGGGGCGCCCCTACCCCGCCCCGCCACTCCCACGCTATGCCCCGCCCTGCCTTAGACGGGAACGGGCGAGGCTGGGCACGGGGCGTGCAACAGGACCATTTCCCTGCCCCGTTTATTTTTTTTTTATAATTTTTTTTTGCTCTAAAAAAATTTCAATTATACGGTTAAGGAAAAAGATAACTCTATTTCCAAAAAACATTTGTTCATCAAATTTAAGAATATAAATCTATAACTCTACTTCCAAA